CCAGACCCAACAATTCAGAAGAGCTAAAAGCCACTATTAGAGCAACCTGGGCTATCATAACACCTGAGCAGTGCCACAGACTGATCGACTCCATGCCACGCCGCATTGCTGCAGTAATACAGGCCAAAGGAGCCCCAACTAAATACTGAGTGCTGTACATGCTCATACTTTTCATGTTCATACTTTTCAGTTGGCCAACATTTCTATAAATCCTTTGTTTTTATTGGTCTTCAGTAATATTCTAATTTTCTGATATGCTGAATTTGAGATTTTCATTTGTTGCCATTTGTAATCATCAAAATTAAACGAAATAAACATTTGAAATATATGAGTTTGTATGTAATGTATGAATATAATATACAAGTTTCACTTTTTAAATGGAATTACTGAAATAAATCTACTTTTTCATGATATTCTAATTTTATGACCAGCACCTGTATATGCTCAGCAAGTTAGAGAGAATACTTGATGAGATTAAACTGTGCAAAATGTATCAATATCTGATGCTCATTATGAAGAACATGTATTGAAAATGCACGTCCACACTCTAACAAACAAATTGTGTTTATCTCAAGAAGCTATGCAACTTGTTGAATAATAAATACACAACAACAACTCATTACTTGACTTTCTTCTGTCCTGTTTCACAACCCGAAATTTTGGAAAAAAAATGCTAGAGAAGATAAGAACAAAACCAAGGGGCTTAAAAAAATAAATCAGGAAAAAAATACAAAATAAAAGCAAGATATTCAGATATGTCAGATTTTCTCGCCATAGCATCTTTTTTGCTAATGCTGTTTCAAATCAAACATTAAAGTCTCATTTAACATTTAGTTGTTATCGATTTCTTTACAAAAATCAACTACAAATGTTCATCAGATGCAATGAAATCATTTAAAAGTAACYAACTGTAATGCTTTGGAAAGTTATCCCAAACATGAGACTTTTACCAGTGTTTAAACAGGAACACTCAAACCCTGATTCTGTTGGAGGTTTAATTTGCTAGAAGGTGACACATTTTTGCAAAAAGAATGATCAAGACTTTGTCGTTTCAAACAACTGTACTATAATAACTGTCATTGTATTTCATGTGTTTTATTCGGATTTTCTCTTTGAATACATTTCTCTGTCTAAACAGAACCCAGGATAACAAACCATCTCGAGTCCTGGTGACAGCAGAGAAAAACACAAGCCTAAACAGAGAAGCTAATGATACCCTTGGCTGGATGTAAACAGGAGCAATGTGTTGCTGAGACATCAAGAATTCCACCAGCCACTGACAGAGGACCTAAAATTAGCCTAATGTTTACCTTCGCTGGACAACAGAAGCCACAAACACACTGCCTGTGAGTTCTCCTTGCAGATTAGTGTTSTAGGAGTTGGGGGGACAGTGGACAGTTTCACTCATCAACAGGAAGATTATTCTCATTAAATTATAAGAATAAAATCATTTATTTGAATGCTTAAATGTCAGATAAGTCTGAAACAGTTTTTTTGCAAATAGCTGGAGGTATTCTGGAGTCTGCTGTCCAAAAATTCCCAAGAGATATGAGGGGAAAATTTAAGGAACTGCTTGGAATCTGGAGGTTTTTATTAGCAAAAGGGGGCCGTCTTTACTGAAAATGCACAGGAAAAAAGGAGGGAGGGAGTGGGAGAGGAGGATTTCAGACAGAAAGGCAGGCAAAGGCAGATTATGAAAGCCATAAGTGTGAAAACACAACAAGAGCATAAGTGAGAAAATAAACAAGTGATGGGCTGCCAAGCACTAGCCGAGCAGAGGTACTTCCCCTTATGTGCACAGCTGGATTGACGAGACGATGAGCAATTCTGCCCTCTCTTCTCCTAGACTCTGACACAAGCAGGGGATTTTAGCTTCACCAAGTCAGTCTGCTTCAAAAATAGCGATGTGCTACTAGCCTCCAAAGTAAACAAAAGTCTTTATACTTCCTCCCAAGTCTCAAAACCCAACATACTTTTCATAATTTAATTATCTTTCATGTTCAGCAGTTTGTTAAAAAAATGTCATAAAGCATATAATGGAATTACAGATCCCACCATGTTTATTTCTTTAAATGGAAATGTTTGAGTTTTCTCTGCATATTTAAAGCAGGTTTGTGTGAACAACTTAGGACTAGTTATTGTTTTTCCTGCAACAACCACCAGCATGACACAGTTTGGAGAAGCGGAGAAGTTTACTGGTAAAGTAGACAAGATAAATAAACACTACTTGGAAGTGGGCTACCAAAAAGGCAGATTTTGCCTTCTGAAGTTAAATTAAAAAAAGGATGTGTATATTTCACAGCAAGCTTTATGCATTTATGTAACTGAAAGATTTTAAATCATATTTTCCACAGTAAGCTGTTATATATTTTTTTCTGTATAAAGGCCCTGTCACACTATAACCTTTTAGACAACTTATGCCAACTTGTTTTTTTTATGTCAAAATTACTAATAAAAGTTATATATTTGATAAATTTGTTAGCATTACAGTACACAGCTAAAAGAGGCTTCTGGTTGACTTTTTTATATTCCATCTTCAACATAGAGGTCTTTAAAAATTTTTATAAGTTTGCATTAGTTGTCAAAATGTTCTAGGGTTTTAAGACACTGCACTAAAAGGAAGACTGAACGTAACTTTAAGGTTTCAGATTGTCCAACAACATTTAAATATATGGATGCTAGGGATGTACCAATATTATTATTGGTTACGACAGATAACCAATATTTATGATATTACACAAACACACAGACTATTTATATACAGTACATATACACACAAATACTTGTGTCTTTTTTCGATACCGTAAAAAAAGTGACCAGACCACATGGCTCTTCAGTTATTCCTGGCTACGCAGCATCACTAACACTATCATGATAAAACAGATACCACTCAACCAACTATTTCCCCTCCTAAAACAGAAACACAAAGCTAAAAAGTTGGAAATCAATACTGGACATTAACATTGGCCCAGTTTTACTTATCGGACCGATACAATATTCTAAAAAAAAAGACCAAAATCGGCCGATATCAATGTTAATGCAGATATATGGCTGAACTGCAAACCTATAACTGGATTACCTGTTCAGTCACCTGAGGAACATCTACTCATGACCCTGTAAAGCTGCATGAGCTTAAAGGAGTCTGACGTTTTTAAACTATTAAACTAAAAAACTGAAGTTACCAATAGACAGGGAGAATACATTCATTTCACAAACAACTCTCATGAAACTACAAATTTTTCAAAGATCACTTATGTCAAAGGAAACATGAAGACTCTGTAATAACAGCACCAGACAGGGAAGCTTCCTCAGAAACTCTGTTACAGTCCACAGTCCTTCAAAATCAAATGTGACCACTGACATTATTACTTTAATAAAGCAGAAACTATGAAGACAATAAATCTGCAAAAAAAACTCTGATAAATTCCATCCTCAGTATTTTAATTGATGTCAAATTTACTATCGGTGTGGGAAAAAAAGGAATTTGTAAAACGATGAGGAAAAAATATGCTCAGTATATTGAAATTGTACCCTCATCACAATACCAATATCGCAAAGGACAGCTTGTACTGTTCATAGACCATCACATTTCAAGCACCACGCATTCGTGTTCTGCATGCTAAAAACATTTTGGGTCAATCCAACAGACTCTCACCGGTCTTGATGCCCACTTCTGGTTCAGATAGAAGTGATGACAGAAAATAAAGTGACGAGTGAGGAAAATGTTGGACAACTGATATTGTCACAGTAATATTAAACAGCAACACTTACGAAATCAAAAAAAATAATTCCAACTGTAACAACAATCTTTGCTATGAAGCTGCCGTGCACAATTAATGTGTACACAAGTGCACATCCCACGTATTAACATCACCCTGAACTGTACTTCCACTTTTTACGAGGAGATCACAACCATGAAAAATCTTATTATTGCCGCCATGCTAACCTCTCCAAAACTGTCAAGACCTGTACCAGAGTACTGTGAACATCTGTGCAGTGATGTACTGGAAAACTCACAGGTCTTTTATTGAAACTCGACTTTAGATTCAGATTTCATGGAAGATTTGAATATGAAACAACACGATTTCAAAACTTTTTTTAATTAAAAGGCGGTGGGGAGAAGGGTCTCCACAACCACTAAATCATGTTACTGAATAGTAAACTACAGGTCAGAATTTGTAAAAAATAAATAAATAAATAAAATGTACATTAGGTTCAGTGAAATACCATTATTAAAACCTGAATGACATCAGGAAACTGACTGGAATGTTATAAATGCATTAAGATCATTAGCTTCAAATAAACTGCAAAAATCCACAGAACCCATCAACACTCAGAGAATCATAACAATGTTGAAATACTGTCAAAAGGTCAAAACCAAAACATCCAAGTTCAGTTAAAGCAAAGTCTGTGTGATGCCAACATTTGTGTTGTCTACAAATGATATTTGCTGCAATGCAGGTGTAAAAATGTTTGTTGTTCTGTTTTTTTTCTAATTAATGTGTAAACATAAAAGACTGGAAATGGATTCTTAGTATTAGTCATACACGGAAAGCTAAAAATATTTCAAAAGAAATAGTGAATGAACAGCTAATAATTTCTATGAAATTTTCTGGTGAATTTCCTAGAAGACATCCATTAACATGGACCTCAAAACCTGCTAAATCCAATGTGAACAAGAGCGCTAATCTAAGAATAGTCATCTGTGTTTTCTTTCATGCCAGAGCCATTATGGTTCATTTGTTCTGTTTGTCTGGCTAGTTTTTTTTTTTTTTGTGAATCACAATTTCACAGAAATGATCAAATTCTAAGATAAACAACAAGTCAAAACATTGCTTGAGGCAAAATAAAATGTATGAATGAGTATTTTGTTTTTCCAAAGATCTGACTTGAATAAGTTAAAAAAAGGCAAAAACAAAATGATCCTTCATACATACTTCAGAAGAAACCGTTACAATAAAATACTCATTTTGAGTGCAACAAATCGAGACTTTACTTACTGGTAGCTCTGATGGTTCTGGGAGAAATTCTGCATCTTCTCCAAAAATAAAATCCGGAGGCAGTTCTGGATATTGTGCATTGAAGATAATATCCCCTGAAAGAARGGAGAACTTGTTTATAAAGTTTTGGTTATGTCTTTTAACATATCAARTTACTATAAGGTCATTTTTTAATATAAATAAAAGGTTACAGTGTTCTTCGTATTAAAGCAACAAACTGAATTCCTTATTTGGTTTTTGATCCCTAGCGTCTGTTGTCAAGAAAAATAAAAAATCTAAAAAAATATCTAAAACTTACACAAATTCTAACGATCATTCATAATGAGAATACCTTTACTGTTGAATGCAACAGCGTTCTTACTCTTATCAGTGAACACAAAATGTAAAACTTAGTAATAAATCCAATCAGTTAAACATTATTGGGCAAAAGGTAATTACAAGAAAATTAAATAATACAAAATATGCACGTAAAAAGGTGCAGATTTCACCGGTAAAATGTATTGCACAAAATAATATTAAACCATTTTTAAGAAATATAATGGTTTGGATAAATAATCAGATTTAGGTGTTTAGATTAAAAAAATAATAAATAATTTAATTTATCAATCTATGATGTGAGGTTCCTGAACTATAAAGAAATCTCCCAGCTGGCCTTAAACTGCCTTCCAGGCTCCCATGCATGAGCTGGAGGAAGTGGATGGGAAGGGGAGGTCTGATGTCTTCATAAGCTGTTGCCCATGAGAACCCTGCTTTAGATAAGCTGCAGGAGATGGACTGATGGATAAAACATTGTGTGCAAACAGGTGTGCATTTTTAGCTCGGTCACATTGCATCTGTCTAGAATTGGGATTTTGATTTGAATCCGAACACATTAAATTAAAATCAGATCACAATTTGTGGATTTTTAAATTTTGGAACAAAATTTAACACGTTTAGTACTAAAATATATCTAAAAAGGTTTAACAAAGAAAAAAAAAAAACGAAAACCTTGCTGCTTAGTCAAAGACGACATGACATAAAACTGAGCTGGTTCAGCGTTCTGATAAGATGGTACACAACGGTGTGCGTGCTTGCAAAGCTGTTCTTATCTGCTTTTTTAGTTGTGCKAGCAAGAACCGGAAAAACACTCACATATGGAAGTATTTTCCCAGCGGAGAAGAGACAAGAGGAAACGAGGATGTATTTTAAATGCAAACCACTGAGAGCCTGAAAAAAAAAAGGCCTGCCTCAGTGACTCCAGACAGAAACAGATCTTTAAGATCGAATTACACAGGTTATAAATTAAGCCTTTATTTGCTGCTTTGTTCAAAAAGGCTGCGGCAACAAAGAAGAAACCTGCCTCAAAAGCACAGTTTTAGTGCAATGTGTCCTCGCAAGGTTTTACTTGTCTTTTTCTTTCAGATTTTATAAAGGGCATAGTGGGTACAACAGTAAAGTACAAAAACATTATTTTGCAGCCTCAAATGTGGAAGGGGGCTGGAATTAATAAATGAAAGACCTGCATGCAGACAGAGACAAATCTGCAGCTCCCAATGATTTAACAAACTTCTACCTTTTCCAGAAATGAGATATTAGGTTAAGTGGGATGTACAGATGCTTTATTTAATTTGGTCCAAGCAGCTAAAGGAAAAATAGAATCCCATGTTTATTGCYTCTTACAGGAGGAGTCAAAGTTCATGATGGGTTTTAACCAGTCAGTAGATTTGAAGGTTAACAGTTTTTCTAAAGCCTTTTGGTTCAATGAAAACTTATTACAGTAGAAAACCATAATGTAAAAATAATTATGTACGTTTATTGACTAATACAAACAGCCCATGACACATGTTCTTTTAACTGCAAAATTACAAAATTTAGACCAAGTTTGCAAAGAACTTATACATCAATTACACACATTCCTCAAGTCTAGCCATAACTTCCTGCCACAGGTCACAACCACTTCTGCCTGTGCCACATTTTGTGCAAAATAAGCAAAGCCTACTTCCTCTAATCTGCKACAGGTTTCTTCCCAAATTCTTGGCCACATTTGCGTCAAACTTAATACACAAGTAGTGGGAACTTTACTCACTCAGTTAACTATCATAAGTATTTCATTTATTTAAATTAAAGCAGGCATTTGTTGTTATGTAGGCATTTGTTTAAAGAACTTGTCAATAACCCATCAGCCACAAATACCTACTTCATCACTCTGAGTCACATTTCTGACTTGTGTTATCCTCACATTTATAWGTTGGTTGGAGTCCAAATGTAGCCAGAGTAAAATGGCAGACAGATACTATTTTATTGACGTGTGCACACTAAGACCTGGCATCCTGTGAGTCACRATAATTCCAATGAGAGCACGTTGAAATTAACATTAATTTACGATTCAACTGATATTCTCCATTGCACGTGTTCAGAAAGGAAAWACTGTTGTGGGGATTTGATTAAGAAGTGTAAGACTGCTCCAGTAAAAGTTAACTGGAACAAACAACAGGAAATTTACTGGTGTTTCAGTGATTAAGCATAACTWCTGCGACCAATACTTCACCAATACTTCTACGACTTATAACACTTTAACAGATCCCTGCAGCTGCTTTACATTTCACTGCTCGCTAAGCATGGGAATGTTTTACCAAACATTCCAATGCAGCTGTTTTTAAGTGAAACAGATTACCATTTTTATTCTGGGTGCTTTAAAATTTCCATAGTCTGCATTCATTCTTTAAAGTGCTTCAATAAAAAGTTCTCTCACTCTTTGGTCAACCTTTAAACCACTTTAAACAAATTAACTGTGACTTTTTTATGACTGGGTTTATGACATTCTAAATTAAAGAACGTTTATTCATCAGGTACGTTTATTTTTCACATTTTAGGCCCGTTGATTTAGACAACTATTGAATTAATCTGAACCCAGCTGGTGACTTGCAAAATTAAAGCTTGTCTGTGATCAGATTTCAGAATAAAAAGAGCAGACAYATAACAGTTAAAACTGGAATTACACCGTGCACACTGCACAATCAGCATGATTAGATGTCAKACTGTTCCATCTAAATCTGTGTTTGCTGCCATTTAATTTAGGGATATACAGCTACACGCAGATGAACAAAGACGCTTGATTTGAAGCTSTCGAAGAACCATGACTGGCCCAACTTCCTGCTGCTGCCACTTTGTGACTTGACTTGTGTTCGCTGATATCTCCTCAAAAAAAACTAAACAAAATTAACCCATTTGTGCAAAGCTGAACAATTATTAGACACTTACATTGTATGTCATTGTGTAAAAGAAAACAAACTTACATTTCAGGGTTTCTCCAGCATATGGTATGTGAAGTTTGAAGCGATCACAGCAAGGACCTGGAGTCAGAGATGTGCATCTGGGCACAAAGAATGATTAAAACAACACAAGATATTCAGTAAGAACACTAAATTACCTCATAGTGGTAATGATTAATAAATGCTAAACTAAAAATTGTACAAGTGTAAAGAAGCTCTAGTATAAAAATTGTTCAAAGTGACACTTGTTAAAAAGATTTATTTATTTATTTGCAGACCTTTCTTGTCAAAATAAAGAAGGAAAGCTAAAGTTTTTTTTGTTGTTTTTAATATTTAATAAAGTCAAGTTCTGTCAGGGGGTTTCACTTATTAACCTAACTGAATGTACACTGTAAGTGTAAGACTCTTAATGTAGGATTAACTTGTAATATGCTTCACCTTTTTTTTTTTTTTACAATGCAAGAACGATAGACAATGTTGTGTTTAAGACAGCCTCACCCAGTTTTGAGATCTGTGACACGCAGACAGTTGGTGGAGTCCAGTCCCACTCGGCCGTTTCTCACCACACTGCACAGCAAAGGCCGCAGCTCAGGTGAGATCCGGTGCAGGGTAACCTCAGGTGACATGTTGTTCATTGTATCCACTTTTAGGAGTCTGTGGTAACACGTCAACTATTAACTGAAACCTTTTACAAATCATATATTACAACAAAAATCCTATTTTACAACACACACACACACACATAAAAATCATAAAGGTGTTGGAAGCCAAGTTATGATCTAAAGTTGCTTCAGTTTGTCAGGGCTGAGTTTCAGCTACTTGACAGTGAGGTCAGCTGACAACCTGAATATACTGATCAGATTTGTCCTTGTTTATTTTTTTTTCCCTAATAACACTAACATGTACCAGAGTCTCAAACTGAGCCAAAAATCATTTAAGTAGTTAGGAAACAAGGAACATGATTTTGCACAAGCAATAGACTTCCACTTGTAGACAAGATCTGCATATTAAGAATTAGGGATATCTGCAAAAATAGAGCGATCTGACTCCCAACACCGTAGATATTAGCTTAATATGTAAATATTTAGACGGAAACAAACGTTGTGACATTTACGTTTCATTTAAATTATTATTCGTTGAATACGTGCAAWAATCAAAGCTGGAAAGTTGATCAAATCATAGCCATAGGCTAACACGGATGTTAGCTGGAATGCAAGTCGCTTCTTTTCTTCGCGCTATATTATATACATTTTAAGGTTAAAAGCACACAAAAATGATCTAGTCCATTCTATTTATTTAAGTACAAAATTAACTGTCTGTAGAAGTACCTGAAAGAGAGAGAGAAATTGGTTTATCTTTGCATTAACGCCAATGTTTACTTCATGCTGTCCAACTTTCCGGTATCTGCTATTTGGGTCCTGATTTTGGCCCCGGGTATAGCTGTCTAAAATYGTGCCTGTTGTAGAAATTAAGATTATCTAATCTTTTTAAATGTTTTATGTATTTACACGTATATTTAGAAGTTTATTTTAGTTTAAATAACTATAACACAGTAATATAATATTTAAAAAAGGTGAGTTTGTCTGATCATTGATAATAAATCGGACTGGCAGCAGCTAAATTGTCAAGCAGCTGTCACTTTTCACGCCGCACTTTGACCGTCACTTTCAGATGTCCACTGTGAAAGAACTGTCTTAAGGTAAWTTTTGGATAACATTTCACTCAAACAGTTCGTGCCGACGTACTTTATTTAACATTGCTGTTAGCCCTTTGTAACTGTTGTTTTCCCCATTTGATAATCCGTCGCTATTTGTTTCCGAAGTCATAATCTAATAAATATTAAAGCGAATTCCCGTACTAATAGTGTTTGAATTTACGAAACATTATGAAAACTAGTGCATCAAAGTGCGCAATCTATGCACAAAAAGACATTCACGTATGTTCAGTGAATACAGTTGGCACTGATTCATGAAAAAAAAGTTATTTGTGTGTAGTAAACAAATAAAGGATTGTCAGTTCCCTTGCAAATCCATTTATAATATAAATCATTCTAATTCAYCAGTATTCCCTTTAGGGTTGCAGATATATTTTTTAATCTGGGTCACTGTTGTGCACTAAGATCAACTTCCAAGTGTTATAAGAACCAGATGGAGTTAATAATGTCCAGAATCACCCCTGTGCCACAGAGTGTTGTGCAGACTKTGTGTGATCCAAAGGTTACAACTCAGGTGATGACCTGAAGGTTAAATATGGATGAGGGTTTGACATTCTTTCCATTCTGGGTTGAATCACAGCACCTCACATCCTTTACACTTTATTTTCTTATTGAATATTTTAAACCTAAAACAATGACACAAACAAAAATGCGTATTCTGGGTGGCTGCAATGTTTTGATTTATGTGCTGAGAGGTTTTAATTTCACTTGAAATATTACAGAATGAATGTGTGTCCTGGGATTRAAAATGTGCTAGAACCTGTACAAAAAAGCATATCTACCTTGGCATAAAAAGTAAARATTTACATCAGCGTGTGCAGCTTAATGAGTTATGCTTCTACAAGAGGTGCTGTTGCGGCTGATTCACTGCTGGGAAAGTCCGCCTTCTTGAGGGGGGTGATTCAGAATCAATGTATCCTGTAAGACAAAAACAAAAACACAGACATCATTCAGACATCGCTGGTGGGATTTATTTCAGAGATAACAGTTTTGTACACAGTTTAAGAACATTTAAATAAAAAAAACATAAACCTAAGAAATATTTCAAAAACTATACTGGTATTTATGGTCATTATGTAAACTTATGCAACACATTTTTACACATTTGTGCCGGGTCAAATCGTGTGCATGGTAAAAATCTTTTTATAAGAATTTTAAAATAAGTTTAGCAGGATCCTCTTTTAGATTAAATAAAAAAACTATAGTGAAAAACTTTGATTTGCATTAAGAATAAATTGCTCAAATGCATAGTTGATATTTTTTATGGGGAATAGATGTTTTCATAGACTGTTTTTAAACAAATTTTACATTCAATTATGTGTAAAACCTAAATTGAATACYTTTAATACAAATATAAAAGGTGCTACCTGCTCTTTGTGAGGTCAGAAAATGCAGTCTCATATCCTCTTGCAGTTTTCTATTTGGGGTTTTCGCAATTGACTTTTCACGCCTGCAGAGTGAAGACAATACTCTGCGAGATGTGGGAGAAAGAATTGAGCCATCCTACAGCCAGCGGCCAAGCTTTCCAAGTCTTCCCAGTGCCTAAGAAGAGATTTGAGAAGATTAACACGCTAGCATTAGCTCCAATACAAGCAGAGGATTGAATTAATTACAGACTTCGCTGGGCTGTGGTGCGTTCACATGGCGCAGCATTGAAATTCCTCCCATCCACCTCCGGTGAGATTGGAATTTGTCCAACTCAGCCTGCGATGAACGCTCTATTTTTATCTTCTTTCTTGTTTCAGTCAAGCTCATGCTAATGTCGGAGATAAATCGACTGATTTTTTGTTTGAAGGCTTTTTGGAAAACTAGTTTACATATTTTGCCTGAAATGTCCCCACGCTGCTTTCACTTAATGACCTGATTTCTGGTACAAAGCAATGGATGCTGAGACTTCCTAAATTCCTCTGTAAGTGTAATGTAATTACAGCTTTCAAAATTTATTTTTTCAAACGTGTGATTTGATCGTCAGATAATGACGGAGGAGGCTTTTGATGTCGTGGTGGTCGGTTCCTGTATGACTGACTTAGTGAGGTGAGTAAGTTTTTTTAAATCTTTTAATCTAAAAGGTCACGGCAAGTTTTGTGCCACCCTTAAAATTCTTACGAATTGGTAACATATTTGACGTYAAACAGAAAATCTGCCCAGCTGGGGCTCAGGAAACTCCTCAGCTTCCTCAGGTGGGCCCAACAGGAAGCAACAAGTTGGGCAACATTTTTATTCCCATTTAAGGAAATGCTTTTTTCACAAAGCAAATCATGGTTTCTAAACATTTTTGTCAGAATACAGTGATACTGTTCATTTCATGAATGGATGTAACAAAGTTATTGTGGTAAAAAATACAGTAAATAGGTTCAAATTTCAGTGTCTGATTTGATAATATTTACAGTAGCTCCATTTCATAAATTAGAAACATCATATTAGACATATTAGACACATGTTGAGAAATAAATCTTAGGTGAATATTGGTGAATGAATGCATGAATTTATAC